AATATGCACTCAGGGAGGTGCATGAAGGTGTCTGCGGAAGTCACGTAGGTGCTCGAACTTTGGCTCATAAAGTCCTTAGACAGGGTTATTATTGGCCCAACATGTACAAGGATGCCACTCACTTTGTTCAGAGATGCTTGAAATGCCAGTTCTTTGCGCACCTGACTCACGAGCCTGCAGAAGAGCTCACTACTCTGGTAGCACCATGGCCATTTGCTCAGTGGGGATTGGATCTCTTGGGCCCATTCGTGAAGGGGGTTGGTGGTGTAACCCACCTGATTGTTGGTGTATATTATTTCACAAAGTGGGTTGAAGCTCGGTCGTTATCCAGTCTTACTTCCAAGAAGGTTGAAGACTTTGTTTTCAGCTCAATCATCTGCAGATATGGGATCCCGAATCAGATTGTGGCTGATAATGGAACTCAATTTAACTGCACCTCTTTTCGAGATTTCTGTTCCAACTACGAGATTAAACTACAGTTCACCTCGGTTTACCATCCGAAATCCAACGAAATGGTCGAATCTGTTAAGTGCATCTTAGAAGGTATAAAGCCGAGGCTGGAACAACACAAGGCCAAATGGGCAGACGAGCTCAACAACGTCCTCTGGGCATACAGAACTACGAGTCAAACTGCCACAGGTATTACTTTACACCTGGCCTATTTGATTAATTTTATTTTACTTCTTCTCCTACGGTTTTACCTTAGAGCAAATATGCATAACGTGTAAAGCGCATTCTAAAGTTATAATCCACTAAAATAGGTGAAACACCCTATCATCTGGCCTTTGGTACCGAAGCAGTCATTCCTATCGAGATAGGAGTTCCAAGCTTCAGAGTCACCCATTTCGATGAAGGACGAAATGGACAACTGCTTCGGGAGAACCTTGATCTGCTTGATGACGTTAGAGAAGAAGCACGACTTCGAACTCTACTATACAAGCAGAAAATAGCAAACTTCTACAACAAACGAGTTCGACCCCGAACATTCAAAGTAGGAGACCTTGTTCTTAGGAAAGCAGGTCTGACGGGGTTTGAAACTCGATTTGGCAAGTTGGCACCAAATTGGGAAGACCCCTACACTGTCGCCGAAGTACCGCACCTAGGTGCTTATATCCTACGGGACACCGAAGGCAAACGGGTTCCCAGGGTATGGAATGTCAATAATTTGAAGAAATTCTACCCTTAGCACACTTCTTTCCAATGAACTTCGTCTTATTTTCATAAGCATCGTCATTTTTTCTAGCTCACTATGTATTCAAGCTCAATTTACTTATCTCATTAATGAATTTCACTTCATGTTCGAAGTAATTCAGTTCTGTGTACTCTTCTATACATTGGAAGTGGGCTTCATTTATTTCTTAAGTCAGTTCATTCTGACTCATTCAGTCACTTCATTTTAGGGTTATAATCCTATTAATTAGTTACACTTTATTTTTGAAGTGCTTTACTTTGTCTTTAAGGTATGCCTCATGGACATCCGAAGTCAAGTGCTATACTGTTTATTTTACCCGAGGTTAGAACCTTGTGTTAATTCAGGTTAACTTATTTTATCCAAAAAGAGTTCCTCAAAGAAAAACATCAATCACAAATCAAAAATTGAACACTAGATAATGATAAATTCAAAAATTTTATACATTGATCTCAAATATAACAATGTTATTTACACCAATAACGCAAAAAATCCTAAACTACTCTGCCGGAGGAGGAG